TTTACACTGTATTAAAAAGTGTTAATTTACCTAAAATCGTGTACTCCTACACTTCCTGGGTAAAATCCCACTTTTGTTCAGTGCAAATTAACACTACTTTGGAAAAGTTCTAATTTTAGAAAGGTACTTTTACTCTTTTAGTGCAAACTTCTAGTGTAAATTAACACTATTATTTGAGTAAAACCTATTGGTGGTAGTGAATAAAACGAAAAGGTAAATAAAGAGAAACATTTATTTGGAACAAAAATCTATGACAATTATCAAAATCGGTGCCTTTTAAAATATAATTTTATATTTGTGTCGTATGGCTGGCTTAAGCAAAATGGTTCCTTAAAACGTAAAAGTTTTAGATCAATGCAATGTTTTACTGGCTTTCAACTTGTAAGCAATGAATTATCTTGAGAATTCATCATTAATCCATTTTTCTGTTATAAAAAATGGGTGATCCCATTGGTAGAGAGGCGTCAGGCGGCTGTATGTCGGGGATTTACCAAACTTGTACAAATTTTCCATAATATTAATAAAAATTTAGGTATAAGTTAATATAAAAACCATTACGCTTGAAAATAAAAAGTAAATCAAGTGTGTATGTATTTATATTAGTAATGTTACAAGTACCCGACCTACTGCAGTAAATTAGTGATATATAATATAGGTCGGTTATGGACATCCTTTTAACATATTGGTATTTATTGAGTATTAAGGCTTAAAGAAAAAGGAAGTATAATACTTACCAGAAAATAAGAATGTCCTCTTATGGATTCACGGTAATTAAAATCTAACTGAACAAAAATGCCACACTTCCACAACGCGGTATCTCCGGATATGCACTGCGTAGGTAGATAGGTACCAACCAAACATTTTAAAACGCATTTGGGTTATTCCCAGTTTTTTCAGTCTATTTTGCCACTATTGGTGTAATTTAACTTTAATTGTGATACAATGTGCACTAGTAGTGTAAAGAAAAAAAAACTCTTAGTAACATCAAAACAGACAAAGAAATTGGCATGCACTGTAGTGTATATTTTGTCACTATTTAACACATTAAGGGTTAATAAACACTCGATTCAGTTTTTTTACCCTTTTGATTTATTTTAATAATAAATAGTTTGAATGTACCAATGAATAATGTTCATATTCTTTAAATGTGTTTAATAAAGTTAATAAGCACTAAATGCTACCCAGTGTATTTTGTAGTGTAACTTTTACACTTACAAATCAACTCTAATATTTTTACCCTTACACTAAAAAATTTACACGGGCAAAATTTTTTACTGTATAGTTATGTATTGGTATACACTGATTTTTATTTTACTCATCCTTTGTTTTGCAAAACAATTGTAATTTTACAAAAAATTTTAACAGTTTACATGATTAAAATGATATATAATAAAAATGCAAACAGAAGTTGCATAAAATAAATAATGATTTGTATATTTTCAAACACTTATCTTATAAAACTTCAAATCAATATCTTCCGTTAACCAAAAACTTTTAATGGATTACGAATATGAAACACCCTGTACAAGTAATCACAACAAATAATAAAATAAATAACCTATGCACAAGGAATACTAATTAAACATCTATGTATAGTGCATTCAAAATCCGAACAAACTCCATCAAAGTCGTGTGTTTATTTTTTGTTAATTTTATCACGTAAATATTTCTCAACATTCTTATTTGTTTCTTATAACGTTCAACACAAAAACGAAACATTTTCGAGCGTAATAAATGTGGAAATGGCATTTAAATCTAGATTAGAGTTCCTTAAAAGTGCTCAGCATTTTAAATGGAGGAAGATACGTTTACAAAACGCAATTACAGCATTATTACATCACAGGTAATTACAAATTACTTATTGTTTTGCGAAGGAGGCCGTCTAATTTTCATAAACAATCTCGAGAGACTTGCTATGCGCTTTGATGCAAGATTTAGCGAGTCTGGTGTACGGGTTTCAAGATGAATGAAAATTGTTGGAAAAATGCGGTGAATTCCTGCAAACGTGGTGATGTTTTTTTTATTTGTGAAAGACTGGAAAAGTGCGAGGTAGAGTTATGCAATTTAAGACAAGATTTTGAAGGTTTTGTGGAAAAATATGGGTGTAGGTGACATTTTTTGAAAAATAGTTTAGTTTAATAATTAAATTAAAGAACTAATGTCATAAGACATAATTTGGTCAAATTTTACTTTAGATAGTTGGTATCACAGTCATTGGTTTGACAGTTAATGTCAAAATCGATTCGCCATGCCGTCCTTAATTTACTTATTTGCAATAAGCGGCTGTTAATGTTAAAGAAGAAAAAAATGATTTTCTTTGGTGTTAACAAAATTTATTGCCAGAAAAGTCTTGTAAGTACTACAAAAATCATAAAAATATTATAACCAATATGCAAAATATTATGCTGTTTAAAGTATAGCCAACCTATAAAATCAAAATTTTGAGTATCTCAAGGTTATTTTTGTTGATTTCTTAAGGTCATGCATAGGTCAGCCATAAGTGACACTTTTAAGGCGGAAAACCTACTTTTACTTAATCAATACGTTTTCTATTACCTACTAATAAGTTTATCAATATTAAGTAGGTTTATTAATTTCCAACTTAATTATTCTATAATTGTTAATTAAAAAGTAGAAATTACCTAGGAAACCCCAAGGGCATAAATTTTATGCGCCAATCAAAATACAAAAAAAAACGAACATAAATTATACGTAGTGTATTCCTAGAACAATGGATCAAATCATAATTAAACAGATGAAACCTTAGACTGGAAGTGTTTTTGTTTCTCGAAACGTCATTTTAGATTGCAAATGATTCTAAATTGGACGCACACCCCCGCATAAACTTCACATCTCAATTTTCCACGGTATTCAAACGTTTGTTGTTAGAAATCATAGTGTGCGGTGATATACATACATACTTATAATAATAACTAGGCTCTGTATTTTTCCAATTTTCCAAATTTTCATTTGTTACGGCAAAAAGATCATTTTTGTACAAATTATTTATTTACAAACGTTATGTTTATAAAAAAACACTCTATTTGTCCAAAAAAACAGTTCTATACCGTTTACAAAAACGTTTTGTAGTATTAATGAAACCCTAATGGTATTATTCATAGAAATTTTGTAAATTTTACAAATCCATTTTCGTTTAAAATAAAACTTTTTTATAATATTAATAAAATATGTAAATTTAACAAGAAATTAATTGTTAATTTAATAAACTATTTTCATTGTAACAATTTGTCACATTTTCAACCTACTGTTGGGTGTTTTTAAAATAATTGCAAGGCATTAAAACAAATTATTTATTATAACAGAAAAAATGAATTCATATTATATGATGTACAAAATAAAAAATATACGAACTCACTTTTTAAACAACTAGTCTGCTTCGTTTATAGAATAGACCTTAAATATTTTTATCATGCTAGAATTTACCACACTTCACTCGCATAAGTGAAATCAATAAGATTATAACACAGACTGTGGATTATAAAGTTATGTTCACCAAGGAGAGCGCTGGCCCTTTCCCCCTCTTTTTAAGGGAAATAACAAAAATTTTGTTACCATTGCAAAACAATAGTAAATATTAAAAAAGTCTTTTTATAGCAATAAAATATTTTGTTTATTGTTCTTAACGTAAGCTATTAACAAAGAATTTCTAACTGAAATAAAAGTTAGTAATTTAAAAAAGACAAATATGCCATAGTAAAATGAACAAATTTTACTATAACAACTGCGCATTACTTTATGTACCTATATATAAGTTCGACAAAGATTTAATATAAAGATGAAGTATTTCTTATTGCCAAGGCAATATGATAACAACTATTACTTTGACATGAAAAATATTCCTTTTGTTAAAATTTGCGAATTTTTAAATTTTCCAAAAAAATTCAAATTTTCACAAAAAAGTCAATGTTTCCAAAACTCTATATAGGTATTTTTATGTAAATATACCTATATAAATGTGTTTATATGATTTTATACATATCACTTTTTATCTGATCGTTATAACGACTAAAGAAGACACTTTACATATTTTAATAGTTAAAAACTAGTTTTTTAGATTTTTTTTTAAATTTAGTATCAATGGTCGATGTAACAGTAATATCTGTTCTCCATGTTCTTGTATAATCCAATTAGCTTGTCATAACATATGTGCCCAAGTCCAGTTATAAGTTGTTTTTCTAAAAATTATTAGTATCTTATATCTATTAATTCGAATTCTTAATAAATAACAGTACATTATGAAAGAAAAATGCTAAATTTTGTGAAAAAGTTATGAGATCGTAAATATCTCTGTTAGTTAATTTTAATAATCATCAACATCAAAAGTTTATGAAATATTTATATTTTTTTAAATTCCCAAAATATTCAAATTTTATGAAATTTTCGAATTTTACAAAATTTTTTAATTTTACAAAAATTTTAAATTTTTTCAGAAACTAAAATTCCCAAAATTTTAACTTGCATGCGAAACAATTAAACTTCAAATTAGCAGTCTTGATAAAAAATTAAAGGGCCAAATTTGTGTCCCTGTGCCACACCCAACGTATACATCGCGTCGTTTTATTTCCCAAAACAATACATAACATCTTTAACTGAAGGTTAACAAATTTATAAATTATTCATTATTATAACTATAAACAATTTGACATTGTGTTTTTTTAAAAGGACGATTCCTATGTATATATTAACAATTATCGTAATTGCTCGTTATAGCATAGGAAAATACTTGGTTATTAATAAACGCAGTAGGTAGTAGTTATTTAGTTTTTAACCTGTGAGGTACAGTTTGTTAAAAAGTGGGAATTTTTTATTATTAAGATGAATATTAATAATAGGATGGTGTACAACTATGCCCCCATGATGGTTCTTGAGAGTAAGATTTTGTAAAAAATTTAAAAAATATTAAAATACAACAGGTTTTACAAACCTAAATCCAGGACACCTGGCAACCTAGCAATTCTAGTAATTTCTGTTTTATCTAGGCGGCAGGGGCAATAGAAAGATAGCCGACAACGTATGCACCATAATAAAATTCAAACGTGACTTGGAAAAACGAAAAATACACAGCACCCTGAAAAATCAACACGTTTACTTGGAAAAACCAAGCGAATCCGAACTTTGTAAGTCGATTTATCAAATAAAACGCACATAAAATGCACAACTACTAACAACATAATGACATAATTCATCGATCACCAATAAAAATAACAAAAAACACATTCGAATGCACTTTGTTTACTCGTTGCTAAGCAACGAAGGTTGCGTATGACGACGGTTGTCATGGTTGCCTGAAAGGGGCGTGGTTAACCTAACCAAACGCATTTTTAAGGTTAATTTAACGATTTTGTTGTACTTTTTTCAGCGTCAAATGGTAATGGAAGGGCGTGGATGAATGGGCACGTAAAACCAGAGGATAAACAGTCGACTTTGTCTAGGTGAGGTTTTTTATTGATATTAATTATTGTACAATTTCATAATCCTGCATTTCTATGGACTTTAGGTCTATATTGCTTAGTATGTTGGAGTAATACTTCACATTATCTTTAACTTCTTGCCTGAGTTTTTTCTGTTTTTCCTTGTACAGCTGTATTTGGTCTTGTAGGTCTAGGCATTCCTTTTCGGACCTCATTATGTCGTTTTTTAACTTTATGTAGTATTTCTTGACTTCATCCGATGTTTCACCCAATTTTTTTAAACTATCCGATGCAGTGCAAACTTTTAACTTTGACTTCTCGATTTCATTTTGTTTTTCGTCCAATTTTTCCTTCAAATAACTTAGTTCTTCTTCCAAATCGTCTACAGTGTTCAATATTTGTCCATTGGGACTGAGTATGGGTAGCTCGAAGGTTCTCGAAGCGTATTTATTCTTGAAAGCGGATAAATCTTCGCTTACGAATATTAAAACTGCCACGATTAGGACAGACGTGGCCAAAATTAGAGATACAATGTAGAAAAGCATGTTTGTTACGTTAAATTTGTCATATTTGACAGTTAATGCGATTAAATCGCAGTGGGTGCCAATTTGTCAAGTTTTAGGTTGGCAGTATTGGGTTTTAGTGCAATGTTGCCAAGTTTAAAAATTTATCCGACATTGACAAGCTGTCATATGGCGTTTTTGACACGAGCTGAAGTTTATTTGTTGATTATAAATTGGGAAAAAGTAAGGTTAAATTTGGTTTGTCAGATGTCAAATGTTAAATACCTAAATGTAATGTTTTTACCTAATCAAATAGCAAATTAAAAAATCTTTCAATTAATGTAACTATTCCCTATATCTAAAGTTAATAATTTTAGAGATACCTACTTAACAATTTCTAAAATTTTAAATATTATTTTGTACCTATCAAGGAAGCTCTGCCGGGTAGGTTGACGGTATCTATGGTTACCACGTAACATGTCATTGTTTAAAATTTAATGGCGTCTATATTTCAGGTCGTTATAAACACTTGGTTAACTAATTAAGTGTTTTGTAAACAATATTACTGATAAAAAAGCAGTCAGTAAATTATACAAACATTGACAAGCATTTAAAAGTAACACAAACAGTATTTGCTTATTTAAAAAAAAAGCTGTAGGATGTCAACTAGATAAAGCACTAGCTCATTGGAGACAATAAAATATAAAATTTATTTTATGGAATATTTTAATTACAAAAACAATGCGCAACAATTTAATAAACCACATAGTTATTGGACACTTAAGGAATATTATTTATTTAAAATTTATATATGCCGTTGTTATAAAGATTTTAGTTTTTTTCTTATGAATATATGAAAAGGATAGTATCTTGTTTAAACTTTATTTACGTTTACTTAAAAATAAGAATATTTGAATTTTTGATAATAGTTTTATAAAAACATGCAAAAAAGTATAGTAATTGGCCATTTTAAATAGTAATTGGACAAATGGACCATAGTTATTGAACATACAATTTTTATATAAACATAACAACTTTACATCAAATAATATAAATTGTTAAAGATAAATTGCTGTTTGGGAATTTTTTTATTTCGTTTCTAAAAATGAAGTTGTCATAGCGTCACTAATAATTCTCGTCAACAGCAATTTGTACCCAGGACATTTAGCAGTCAATTCCTACAAAATATTATTCGCTGAATCCGAAAATGTCGTCAAAAGTTATAAAAGTAGAACAGTTTTTGAAATATAATCAATTTTACATATAATATGGAATTGACTATATCTCAAAAACTGCTTAACTTTTATAGTTTTTGACGGTCTTTTCGGATTGAGGGGACAATTTTACATAAGAATTGGCTGGTAAATGTCCGGGATACAAATAGAGTATGATATTGGACATATGTCCAATAATAAAAATTTACATTTTTTACCAACCAGTAATTGGACACTGGCCATTTTACTGTTTGTTTTCAGAATTAAAATTAAAACGCATTAAAGTGACAATGTTTAAACACTTTTTAGAAATATTTTTTGTTGTAATTTAAACACATTACTTCAATCGAAATTTTTTAAAACTTTCTATTTGAATATGTAAAAACTATTTTTGATTTCTCAAATTTTAACAAAAAAAAATTAATAACTCGAACAAATGGAATAATGAACGGGAAATGTTGATTTTTTTTGATAATAATTATCAATTATTGTAGTTGTTTCTAATTTGACAGTTTTTTGAGAAATATTTTTTTGTTGTATCTACTTTTTTTATATGATAATCAATTTTAGAAATTTTTGTAAGTATAGCATAATTTCTAAAATAAACCTTTTAAAACTCCTATAAATAGTTATCAATTGGCTTAAGCCTGTTTAAACAACGGTGAGATGAAAGTATTACAATTCACCAAAAATATTTAAAAAATGAATTCCAAAACCTAAAATTAATTAATCGTTAGTTTCACAGAAGGTATCCAACAAAAAATCATAAGGCATTATTTTTCAATCATAACTGTACAGGTACATGGCAAAAAGAATAATAAATCGGTTATTTGCAAAACGGTATCTAACACTGGCCTATAGATAGATAGATGGATAGATGTAGAAGAGAGTTCGCGCGAGCAACAAGTGTGTGAAAGCATCCATCTGGTAAGTTTCGAGGCAGCAATGCGGCGCTGCGGCAACCGTAGAAAATTTCAATTCGAAGTAACGCGGCGGACCAGGAAATGCAGAGAGAACAACCGGAGAGAGACCCATACCGTGGCATTATGATCTAACCGAGAACGTTTCGCGGATTCCACGGGCCCGTAATTGAAATACCTACCTCGGTATAACGTTCAATTTAGATAATTATCCAAATCGATTGGAACAATCGAAATAACCATTTACAGCCACCCAATATCGAAGCCATATAGGGCGCCGTTTTATTTTTTATTCAGGAATTATTGTTATGTCTTAACACTAAAGCGATATTTTCAATTAGATAAAAGTATACAGAAGAAAAATCGAACAAAATTGATTTTTTTTCATTACAAAAATGTCTCCGACTGATGTTGTCCTTTGTACTTTACTTCTTGTGACGTTTAAAACACTTGCCACGTAATACTGTGACCGTTCATCCTGGATTAAATTAATGGCTCTGGCAACATCAGTCGGGGACATATCCATTTTTTAAAGTAAGAAGACACCTCAAAATTTAAACATTAATTTGCAAAAAACAATTTGATAGCTTTTGAAAGCCGTGTATCATACACGGGTATGACATGTCCAAGTATGGGATGATTCAACTAAACTGTCACTGTCATCCTCCATAGGCTATGGATGGACCATAGCAACCTTAGTTCTTCATACAGAAAAATATTGGAAATTGCAATGTTTTTTTTTAAAAATCCATATTTTCCACAAAAATAAATATATCGAGGTGAACCAAAAACAAAACTGTTAAGAATAGATGTGACTTGATAAATAAAACTTAATTTAGAACAATATGTAGTTTTGCCATTCTACAGAGTCTTAAACTTATGGTAAAAACATCTTTTTGTTTAAACCTGTATATTATAAACGTACGTCTATTTTTTAGTAATTTTTTAAAATGTGAGTGATTGTGCATTCATTTATCTGCAATATTCTTTAATATTCGTTTAAATCTGACATCAAATAAAAAAGTTATGTACCACCAAAGCACCAAATGTACCAAAAAGACAACACTGAATGACATTTTTATCTTCCAGATATTGCACCACAGAACGTCAACGAACCCCACCAACAAACTACCAGGCCATCAAAAGAACATGTCGCGAAAGAGGATCTCTGTACGAAGACCCAGACTTTCCCGCCAACCAAAAATCCCTGTACCACCACAAAAAACCGTCCCTGCAACCGTTAGTATGGATGCGACCTCACGTAAGTAGAAAATTTCGCGCAAATCTAATTATAGAAATATTTTAATTAAAAGTAAAATCTTCGCGATTAGATAAGACAGTGTAAGCTTTAAGAATTATTGTGCGGCGATAAGAAAAACATGCGACTTATCCCAGCTCTGCACAATGAAAGCAAATATGTTTTTAAATGGATGCAACAACAAACTTTGCTTTAAGGCGATTTTGTTACAGTTCCTTTTGATGTATACCAAAAATAACCACTTACGACTAACATAAAATTGTAATGTAACAATACAATTATCAATGGATGTTTTGTAAAAGACTTTGGTGTGCGAATTTCGCGCCAATGTGCACACACAGTGGCATACCTTTAATTTTTTATCGGCAGTCTGAAGATTTACTTTGAGATACAACCTAACTACACACTTTACTGGAGATCCTAAAGAAATATGTTCAATGCAATGCGCTATCTAACTGCAAATAAAAATAAAAAATGTGTATTTTCAATCTGATACGGATTTTGAAAATAATAATGGGACTGACGTTTAAAAAAATTGTAATTATGATGCGATTTGTTTGCAGGAAATTTGCCAGCGCCCAAAATTTATAGCGGAAACGAACCCAGAAACGTACAGGTTTGCCGTAGAAGCAGGCGAGTTGGGAGACCAATATTTGTTGAGTGCTGTAGCATCTTTGGCTTTAACTCCGAAATTCTTGGACCGGGTAGTACCACCCGAACAAGGGTTTGATACTACGGCTTCCTATTGCGGAGTGTTTATGTAAGTACGCCATTTTTTAATTTTCAGATAAATCTGTAATAAAAAGTGCTCAATTCTATTATAATTCAAAGCGGGTGAAAACCGTTTCCGCTTAAGAATTGCCACAACAAAATAAAATTTATCTTGTCAACATGTCTGTGCACAGTAAGAGATGTACTAAGAAAGTATGTAAATTTTTTCAATTGTGCTGTACTCCTTAAACCACGCTCTTTAATATGGAGTTTTAAAATTTAAAATCGCTTCATAAATAACGTTACCGGCGCCCACTTGTTTGAAAAAACCCTATAACTCTCCTATTTATTACATGATTTTAATAAAATTTAAAATGTATACTAAAGAAATAACTTTTTTTATTTCAGTGCTATTGTTTCTTATATTAGTTGATCAATTGGCGCCCAGTATTTTCAAACTTTTTTGTTTATTGGCCGATTTCATTGATGTTTTTCTGCTGCACTATTTAAATCTCGTTTTTAAATATGACGTTTTAAAATTTAAAATCGCTTCATAAATAACGATCTTACCGGCGCCCAGTTGTTTGAAAAAACCCGATAACTCTCCTATTTATTATTTGATTTTAATAAAATTTGAAATGTATACAAAAAAAACAACGTTTTTTCTTTCAGGGCTATTGTCTTTTACATTAATTGATCAACTAGCGCCCAGTATTTTTAAACTTTTTTGTTTATTGACAGATTTCATCGATTGTTTTTGTGTTGTACTCTTTAATGATTGTTTTTTATTTCGACGTTTTAAACGTTAAAATCGCTTCGTAAATAACAATCTTAGCGGCGCCCAGTTGCTTGAAAAACTCCCTTATTTATAACCCGATTTTAATAAAGCTTTGTAGTAATAAACCTTGTTTGTGTATTTGTCAATTTTATCAGTTATTTGTTTTCTGATGAACTATTTAAATCTTGCTTTTTAATATGACGTTTTGAAATTTAAAATTGTTTCGTAATTAACGATCTTACCGGCGCCCAGTTGTTTGAAAAACTCTCATAACTCTCTTATTTATAATCCGATTTTAATAAAGCTTCTTTACACATCTGGCTTAAAGCCAGTGACTTTAAACCTTTGTCAAAAATAGTTTTATTAATAGCTCGCGTGATATAAATAAGAAAGTTGGTAGTTATAAATCTTGTTTGTTTATATGTCAAGTTTACCGATTGTACGAGTACTCTTTAAATCACGCTCTTTATTATGAAGTTTTAACATGTTAAATCGCTTCTTAAATAACTATCTTACCGGCGCCCAGTAGTTTGAAAACACCCGATAACTTTACTATTTTTATATGTGATTCTAATAAAATTTGGAAGGTATTTGGAAAAACAACGTTTTTTTATTCGGTGCGATTAATTTTTGTTTAAGTTGGTTAATTGGCGCCAAGTTTTTTCAAAATTTTTTGTTTGTTGGCCGATTTTATCGATTGTTTTTGTGTTGCACTCTTAATTTATAGTTTTTTATTTTGACGTTTTAAAATTTAAAATCACCTCATAAGTAACAATCTTAGCGGCGCCCAGTTATTTGAAAAACTCTGCAAAAATGTAGGTAAATCAATCACAAGAATGTCAACTTAAACTAGATATAACTTTTACAAAATATTCTCTAGCATAAAAAATATTATTGTGTAAGTTTATATACATATAGAAATCAGAGAAGAACGGCTAGCGGATAGCAACCGCACAATAGCCATGTTAATACGAAATTCCTCGACTAGTAATTGACTTATTTATGTTTTCTATGGGGTCCGACACAACCTGTCCCCAGTTATACGTATGCGCACCGCGCCGCTCCGATTTATCTCTCTATGATTCGCGCTATTCGATTCCTTCTTTTCTTCTTCTTTCTCCTTTTTCCAATACCACTACGAACTATTGCTCTATCAGATTCGATCAAGTTACCGTAAATCTGATCCCACCATTGCATCGACCGTCATTTGTTTCATATACGCTGAGAACTGACCAAAATCAAGAATGTTATTTTTTACATTTTGGCGTCCACCGTTTGATAAATTGCAATAATTTTGTTTATATTGCAGCGAGTTTAGTTTCAAATAAAAAAATATATTTTACGATATACAGGGTGTGCAGAAATTAAACCAACATAAAATTTTTTGGTTTACAAGATTTTTTTAAATGTTGGGCGCCGCTAGGTCAAAATCCTAAACTCGACATTTTAAAGACGTTTGGAATGAAATTTTTAATAACAAAAACATTATTTTTTTGAGCAAACTAAATACTGTACTCTTTAAAAACGCTCTTTAATATGACGTTTTGAAATTTAAAATCGCTTCATAAATAACGATCTTACCGGCGCCCAGTTGTTTGAAAAAACCCGATAACTCTCATATTTATTACAAGATTCTAATAAAATTTGGAATGTATACTAAAGAAACAACGTTTTTTCTTTAAGTGTCAATATTTTTTGTATTAGTTGATTAATTGGCGCCCAGTAATTTCAAACTGTTTTGTTTACAAGATTTTTTAAAATGTTGGGCGCCGCTTTGTCAAAATCCTAAACTCGACAAAAAACATTATTTTTTTGAGCAAACAAAGGATATCGCAGAAATACTGTACTCTTTAAAAAACGCTCTTTAATATGACGTTTTGAAATTTAAAATCGCTTCATAAATAACGATCTTACCGACGCCCAGTTGTTTGAAAAAACCCGATAACTCTCATATTTATTACATGATTCTAATAAAATTTGGAATGTATACTAAAGAAACAACGTTTTTTCTTTTAGTGTCATTATTTTTTGTATTAGTTAATTAATTGGCGCCCAGTAATTTCAAACTGTTCTGTTTATTGGCCGATTTTATCGATTGTTTTTGTGTTGTACTCTTTAATTATCGTTTTATATTTTGACGTTTTAAAAGTTAAAATTGCTTCATACACAACAATTTTACCGGCGCCGTTGTTTAAAAATCTATCATTTGTAATTCGATTTCAATATACAGAAAATAAACCTAAATGCACTTTCTTGCTTTACAAGACTTTTTAAACAGTTGGGCGCCACTACGTCGAAATCGCAAAGTCGTCGTTTTAAAGGCGTATGGGATGAAATTTTCAATACAAAACATAATATTTTCGAGCAAACAAAAGAATATCGCGGAGATTTATAACTATCGGTCGATTTAATAAGAGGCAATAAATTAAATTATCCAAGTCCGCGCCGGTGAGCGAGCCGATAAATTTTAGCGCGTCCGAATCGATTCATCAATCACTGGCCATCATAAAAGTAAAGAAATTATGTATAAAACACCGTGAGAAGTGGCCATGGACCTGAAAAAAAGTACAGTAAAAAAGTAAAATTATTTGATTTTTTGGCGCCCAGATTTTGTTTTATTGTCGTTGGTATAACTTTAAGATTATGGCGCCAAAATCGTCGCATTTTTCACTCTTGGAAGACTTAAATGGACGTCAAAGTTATGGGGTACATAATGGTGCCCAGACCGTTTATATAGGATTCAAAGATGGCGATAACATAGAATTGAGAGACTCGTGCATTTATATTTACGTTGCGGCTCTAATCCCGGGATCTTTATTTGCGGTTGCGATCTTGTTAAACAAATTAAGGGACGCAATCATCTAGATAATTTCTTGCATTTTATCTTGGGAGAGAGAGAGCGGGAAAAAATCCAGCGTACTTTATTACACCGCGTTGTCTAGGTTCTCGGAACACGATAGAGACTCTAGTAGGGATATTTAATTAGATTTATGGCCGCTATACAGCAATAACATGTTTGCTACTGTGGCACCAAAATAGTACCACTGTCAATCAATGTCTTAAGAATGCTGCCATAAGGAAAAAATCCGAGAATCGTTGATTTTTTAATTGGAATAAAATAACTGTGGATACTACACCTCGATTTTTTTAACTGTATAGTTGGGCGCCAAAATAAAAAATGTTGGTTAACATTTTATATGTTTCAGATTTCGTTTCTGGCATTTTGGAGAATGGAGAGACATAGTGATAGACGACAGGCTACCAACCTACAAGGGTAGATTGGTACACCTGCACAGCTCAAATAACACCGACTTCTGGGCTGCCCTGCTAGAAAAAGCCTATGCCAAGTACAAAACATTTACATACCAAGGTGGTTCGTTACTGATTTTTTCGAATTGCAGATTTTATGGTTGTTACGAAAATTTGCAGCAAGGCTCTACGACAAGGGCGCTTCAAGATCTGACAGGTGGTATCGTGCAAAGTTTCGGGCTGACCCACCAGGACAGGTTCTTGACTTTTCAAGTGCTTAACAGCGCCGTCCCCAGGTCTAGTCTCTTAATAGCGACAATAACTCAGGTGAGCGAAAAACCTTTTAATTAGAACACGATTATAGTATTAAAAAACTGCGAAATTTAAATAAATACAAACACGATTTCAAATCACGATGCCAATTAGCATTTTAGATTGTCCAATGTTTAAATACATTACTCCCACAATTGTAACCCAATCATAGCAAAATTACACTGTACATACGAACTTCTTTAAAGGAAAAAGACAATAAGCGCCAGTTAAGACTGCGCAATGGCCTTATAACGCACCACGCGTACAGCGTGACGGGATTGGCTAGAGTACGGGGCGCAACAGGTGAAACCCCGCTAGTTCGACTTCGGAACCCCTGGGCTAGAGGGGAATGGACTGGGGCGTGGAGCGAGAGATCCTGGGAATGGGACGGACTTTCCAACCGCGACAAAGAGTTGCTTAGCGTCAGGGTGACCAACGAGGGAGAATTCTGGTGAGATTACCAATATTTTAGTGAAAGAATTTTTAAAAAAGTTTAGCGATTGTACTCTTTGAATCACGCTCTTTAATATGACGTTTTAAAATTTGAAATCGCTTCATAAATAACGATCTTACAGGCGCCCAGTTGTTTGAAAAAACCCGATAACTCTCTTATTTATTCCATGATTCTAATAAAATTTGGAATGTATACTAAAGAATCAACGTTTTTTCTTTTAGTGTCAATATTTTTTATATTAGTTGATTAATTGGCGCCCAGTAATTTCAAACTTTTTTGTTTATTGGCCGATTTTATCGATTGTTTCTGTGCTTTACTTTATAATTTATATTTTTTATTTTGACGTTTTAAAAATTAAAATCGCTTCATAAACAACAATCTTACCGGCGCCCAGTTGCTTGAAAAACTCTCTTTTTATAGTCGGATTTTAATAAAAATTGGAATGTTCTCCAAACCTGTTACTATTTTTTGTTTAGGATGTCATTCGACGATTTCAATATTTTTTGAATTGCTAATATTTTTTGGCGCCCAGTATATATAAACATGTTTGTTTGTTGGCCAATTTTATCGCTTGTTTCTGTGCTGTACTCTTTATCTGATATTTTTTATTTTTACATTTTAAAAGTTAAAATAGCTTCATTAACAACAATCTTACCGGCGCCCAGTTGTTTGAAAAACTCCCATAATTTTCTTATTTATAATCGGATTTTAATAAAATTTGGAATGGGCTCCCACACCTCCTAAAATTCATAAAATTCCTAAAATTTGGCTTAAATCTTAAAAACTCCTAAAATTATCCTAAAATTACCATTAACCTCCTAAAACTCCTAAAAATTAAATATAAATAGGCCAACCTGAATGCTTTTAATTTAGTTTTACCAAAAAATTTCTTTTTTAAGAAGTAATTTAAAAAATATATATTTTTAGGTTCTAGTTTATTAAATTATTTTTAAAATGATTTATCAAAACATACACTTTTCTTAAAAAACATCAAAATATACCTAAAAAACAAAATCCATGTAGTAGCTTCAGACTTCTACAAAATTGTCATGTTTAACCATATTTCTGTTTGTTTTCGACAAAAATATACCGTGTTATATATCAAACAAAAGGATTTTTAATTTTCTTTTAAATGATAACTAAAGTAGTAAACAATCTAAAGAATGTTTTCTTGTATTAAGCAAACATTATATATTTCCTATTATGAGATTTTTGAGTAACAAGATCCACATTACAATTATTGTTAGTTATTAACTAAACGGTTAACATTTTTTTTCTCAAAATATAAATATAACATCATTTGACTTTGGCCTAGTTTTTTAGTCACATCAGAAATTTCTACTTGTGTATATACCTCAGATACTCGTATATACAAAATTAGTAATTTTACCCCACTTTTAATTTTATTTAAAAAAAACTCGTCGAGCGATTTGGCTAAAAAAACTAGTCAAAGTAACTTATTTGTACAAAAGAAGTGATGTTTATTTATACTTTTTTTTAAATAATTATTTATTTTTTAAGTGTAGTTTAGAGTTGTTTTTATTTAATTACATAAATTCATTTGAATACTTTATTTCTCCTAAAATTCTCCAAAAAACCTCCTAAATTCCTAAATAAAATTTGTAATTTAGCCGTGGGAGCCCTGATGTTTGTTTGTTGGCCAATTTTATCGCTTGTTTCTGTGCTGTACTCTTTATCTGATATTTTTTATTTTTACATTTTAAAAGTTAAAATAGCTTCATTAACAACAATCTTACCGGCGCCCAGTTGTTTGAAAAACTCCCATAATTTTCTTATTTATAATCGGATTTTAATAAAATTTGGAATGTACACTAAACACGTTAGATTTTTTTGATTAGGATGCCATTCGACGATTTACTGCCAAGGTTTTTGGCGCCCAGTATTTATAAACTTGTTTGTTTATTGGCAGATTTTATCGATTGTTTCTGTGCTGTAATCTATAATTAATATTTTTTATTTTGACGATTTAAAACTTAAAATCGCTTCATTAACAACAATCTTACCTGCGCCCAGTTGTTTGAAAAACTCCCATAACTCTCTTCTTTATAGACGGATTTTAATAAAATTTGGAATGTACACTAAACCTGTTACTATTTATTGTTTAGGATGTCATTCGACGATTTCGCAAGGCATTTCACGCAGTTAGATTTAGTGCATATAGGGCCGGACGATTGGATGATGGAAGGGGCGCTTCATTCCAAACAGCCTTGGCGCGCTGTTTTGGCGCGTAGAAGATGGCGGGCTGGATACAACGCTGGGGGTGGCCCCACTTATACAGGTACGATAATTTACAAGTTAAGCGCCAGTTTTATGTTTTCAATTTATTTTAGAAACCACCGCTATGAACCCGCAGTTTCACGTTCAGATTCCCAGGAGTTCCAGTAATAAATGTCATGTGGTTGTTAGTATTACGCAGTATTATGAGACTAGTATACAAGATGTAAAGAAAAAGAAGCCCTTATATGCTATTGGGTTTGCTGTCTATGAAATACCTCATTCTATGCAGAGGTTGACTCCACATTTTGTGACGGAACAAGTAAACTATTGTGTCACAATAATTAATATTTACTTTTATATGTTATTTTTAGAAACCTCTGGACGTAACCAATCACTCTGTAGCAAGGGAGGTGGTTACATTCTTTACTTTACCTCCAGGTGATTACATAGTGGTCCCTCAAACAAATATACCAAATCTGGATGGTAAATTCCTACTCAGAATTTTCACTGATGAACAGAGCAACATTTGGTAAACATTTCGCATTTTTTCTTTGACAAATTTCATATTTTTTATGTTCCAGGGAAGTAAATGAAGACAACGTGATAATACGCAACATATCCTCTGAATTCGTAGACGAAAATTCATCACCAATCCTGGTAAACCCCATTTAAAAAACCCTAACATTTCATACAACCTTTTTTTCAGACGGACAATAAGTCAGTTCTCTCGAAAATGCTTCTTAAATACCCACCTGAAGTCGATGCTAGTCAACTACAAAAAATCTTGAAATCTCAATGGAAGGCCTACCTAACAGAAAAACCAACTTTAGAACTCTGCAAAAGCCTTATTATGCTGAGGGATTACAATATAAGCGGCAGAATAACCCTTATCGATATACCTGTGTTGATGCACATGCTACAGTTTTGGAGGGTGAGCGCCCAGGTTTTTCAAAATTGTCGAATTTAAAATCTGTTTGAATATTTGAAAAAAAGAGTTTAAATTAGCCAAAAAATCAAATTTTATTATAATCGGGTTATAAATAAAAAAGTTTAGGCGCCCAGTTTTTTTAAAATACGCTATAACTTTTTTGTTTCATGAGGAATTTTAATAATATTTGAAGGATATACTAAATTAAACAAAATCTTTCATTTGGTCCTAAAATATTTAAAATTTATTAACAAATAAAAATGTTTAAGCGCCCAGTTTTTGAAAAATACGCTATAACTTTTTTATTTCAACAGGAAATTTAATAAGATTTAAATGGTGTACTTGGTTAAATGCACTCTTTTAATGGTTTTAAAATATTTAACATCCATTTGCAAACAAAAGTTTAAGCGCCAATTTAAAGAAAATAACAATTGCAGATGGCGTTCCAAAAATTCAGCCACAACAGCGGCAAAACATCAAGCTACAACCTAAGAGCCTTACTTTGGGAAGCAGGGTGTACAGTTAGCAATAAGGTTTTAGAATGCTTAGTGTTAAGATTCGCCAAAAATCGAATTTTAACCACAGAAAATTACATTATGGCCTTGGTTAGGTTGCATTTGTCCCATGAGAGGTACCATAATTTGGACACCAAAATGAAGAGCAACCCGTTGTCATTGGAAGAAGTAAGTTTTGGATTTCTTAACCTTGTTTATTTGACTACATAATGAAAATTTTGTTTCAGATGATTTTAATGACGATATATTCGTAATGTCAGTATAAACCAAAGATATTGTATATATGTTACATAATGTATATTTTGTATATAACTTAATAATTTATTTAACTCGTATGACGTATGTGCAATGTATTGATATAGACAAAGATTATGTAGTTATTGGAAAATAAATAAATATATTTTTAAATAAAAAAACTTTAATTTAAAATTTACACTTGTGTGTTATCAACTATTATATTTGGTTTCAAAGCCATTCCCAGTTTTTCCCAGAAATCCTTTTGCTTTTTTAAATCCTCATCCCATTGCAAGTATATTCTCGTTTTTAGTAAATACTTTAAAGTGGAAGTTAGGCTTGTATTACTCACATGTCCATATTTAATTAACACCAAGGAATCGTCTTTTTCATTTTGGAAGAATATTTTATGATGGTGGGCTATCTGAGTCTCCCAACGACACCACTGGGATTTGGCGTAGTTTTCACTGATTATCAAGAGAGTTTTTCGACTTTGAGACACATTTTCCAAGACATTTTCACTAATAAAAGTGCCAATCTCAAAATCTCTTTCATATATACAAAGGTTAAGGTGTGGTGGATTTTTCTCCAACATTTTAACCAGAAGCGTTATAAAGGCTGTGTCTTCGCTGCTATAAGAAACAAACGCGTCATATTTGAAGGTTTTTGGGTTTTCCTTTGTAGGTTTTGGACTTATTTTGCCCTTTCTGCTTAGGTATAACCTCGTTAAAAACAACCAATATCTAACATGATGTCTGTAATAAAATAAACCTAAACCTACACCCAGAAAAATAAGTAATATAAACACTAGAGGCAAAATAAGGTACAATCTCCTTGTGAAATCGTTGGAATTGCAATCTATAAGTCCATTTTTAACATTATCAATGAAGTCCATCACGGTTACATTCCCAGAGATGCTACAACGTGGTTGATTTTCTCCAAAAACATTAAAGAAAAGACTTTCATTATTATTTTCCAACCATTCTTCCAATTCAGTGTAAAGATTACATTCACACATTATCGGATTTTCATTCATCACAACCTCATCTAGGTTTTGAAAGTCCTCCAACATTGGCTTAGTGATGAAAGGGATTTTGTTGGCAAATAAATTAACTTTTACTAACTCGGTATTGTTCTTGAATATTCTTGAAGTCCATGATGTTAAACTATTGTAGGATAAATCCAGTTGTTTTAGGTGTATTAATGAACCAAAATCTGCGAACGTCAGGTATATTATTTGGTTTTTGTTTAGGTCTAGGTGTGTTAAAGATTTTAATCCTTCAAATGGGTTTGAATCTTGTGCAATAAATGATATATAATTTCCGCCCAATAGTAATACTCTAAGGTTATCTAGCCCGGTAAAAATATCGTTTTCTATGCCTACGGGGTTATTTTTAACAAAATAATTATTCTCCAGGTTTAAAAACTCTAGTTTCTTCAACGTGGCAAACGTATAGTTGGCCATACTTCTAATAGTACCATTTTTCAAACCCAAAAACTTTAAATTTTCCAAACCTAAAAACGTTTCTTCATATAAAGCATCAAGTTTATTATAGCCCAGGTTTAACTGTATCAATTTCTTCATATTCTTAAACCTAGACCCCGATACAGTAAAGGCAGACGAGTAAAATACACTATCAGAATTCTGCTGTAAGTCCAAATAGGTTATATTCTCAAGCAGGACGCTTTCAGGCGGTTTGGAAAACTTATTAAAGCTCAAAATCAAAGTCCTTAGGTTGGGCAAGTTTACAAACGCATCTTTAGTAACACTCAAAGCTAAAACCTCGGACAAGTCCAGTACTTTTAAACTCGGCATCAAAGGGAATGAGTTTTTCTTGATAACTTCAAACCTATTTCTCGACAGGTTGAGATAGTTGACTTGAGAGTTGGCCAGGACTTCCATGAGGCCTCTAGGTAGAGTTTTCACGAAACCCGCGGAATACAAGTTCAGGTCTTTCAGTGGTATGTTGTTTTGAATGCTTGTATTTAAAACGTTTGTTATTGTGGACTCGTTAAAGCTGTTAAAGCCTAGTTTTAGGCTTTCCAGGTTTTTGAGCGGCAGAAAGGCCCTGGGGTGTATGAAATCGATTCTACAGAGGACCATGTTCAATTCTGTTAAGGCTGAGTTGTATAATGATGCGAAAGAATCTTCCTGGATGATCTCAAAGTTGTTGTTCTTGAAAGATAATATTTCTAGATTGGGTATTAGGTTGGTTTGTAGAGCTAAGGCTGCGTCATGGATGTCATTAAAGTCATTACCTATGAGGATGAGTTTATGAAGGTTTTTACAGCCATAAAAGACGCCTTTGTTTAAGCTTCTTAGGTTGACATTGTGCGAGATCGATATTTTAGTTAGATTTTCAATTGGTTCGAAAACCTTATCTTCCAGGTTTACCAAAAGGTTGTTAAACTCTATATACACCACAGATATGTTTTTGAAAATCTCGAAATCCCCGTATTTTATTTCTGATAGAGCAGTGGTGTGAAATACTAGTATCTTCTTTGGACTTACAAACACTTTAGGTACTTTTTTACAGTTTGATCTGCCGAAACAAGTCATGGCGGTTTGGTATAATCTACAGTAGCAACCACTGACGTTATCTCGTTGTATGAAATCCGAATAAGAATCGTCGAATGTAGCAATGTTGTTTGCATCAGAAGCAATGGGTTGAGGCGGGCAAAAATCATTTTCGTCGCAAATTTGTAGGGAATGGGTCTTGATGATCAAAATGGCCAAAAAAATTACAAACATCACCAATACTATAAGGAATGAAAATATCATTTAAAAACCAAAAAAATGTAAAAAACTTACCAAAATTACCACATTATTACATAAAAACTTCAACACTATTGATTTTCCACACAAAACATAGCCATGAAAACATATTATGCACACAGAATATTAATATATTGGTGGAAATATCGTGTACTAAATAAAATAACATTCTTTTTGTTATCCATAACAACAATTAGAAGTATGTGTGGTATTTTTATTTTTAAAACGAGCTTTGTAAATATTTGTTAAGGTAGGCAAATGTGATTCAAAAAATTAAGGGGAACAGGGCAACATTTGGTAAACATTTCGCATTTTTTCTTTGACAAATTTCATATTTTTTATGTTCCAGGGAAGTAAATGAAGACAACGTGATAATACGCAACATATCCTCTGAATTCGTGGACGAAAATTCATCACCAATCCTGGTAAACGCCAATTAAAAAACACTAACATTTCATACCACCTTTTTTTCAGACGGACAATAAGTCAGTTCTCTCGAAAATGCTTCTTAAATACCCACCTGAAGTCGATGCTAGTCAACTACAAAAAATCTTGAAATCACAATGGAAAGCCTACCTAACGGAAAAACCAACTTTGGAACTCTGCAAAAGCCTTATTATGCTGAGGAATTACAATATAAGCGGCAGAATAACCCTTATCGATATACCTGTGTTGATGCACATGCTACAGTTTTGGAGGGTGAGCGCCCAGGTTTTTAAAAATTGTCGAATTTAAAATCTGTTTGGATATTTGAAAAAAACGAGTTTAAATTAGCCAAAAAATCAAATTTTATTATCATCGGGTTGTAAATAAAAAAGTTTAGGCGCCCAGTTTTTTTAAAATACGCTATAACTTTTTTATTTTAAAAGGAATTTTAATACAATTTGGAGGATAGACTAAATTAGATTAACCCTTTCGTTTAGTTTGAAATTTTTTTAAATTCATTTACAAACAAAACTGTTTAAGCGCCCAGTTTTTTTTAAATACGGTATAACTTTTTTGTTTGATGAGGAATTTTAATAATATTTGAAGGATATACTAAATTAAACAAAATCTTTCATTTGGTCTTAAAATATTTAAAATCCATTAACAAATAAAAATGTTTAAGCGCCCAGTTTTTGAAAAATACGCTATAACTTTTTTATTTCAACAGGAAATTTAATAAGATTTGGAGGGTATACTTAATTAAATGCGCTCTTTTAATGGTTTTAAAATATTTAACATCCATTGGCAAACAAAAGTTTAAGCGCCAATTTAAAGAAAATAACAATTTCAGATGGCGTTCCAAAAATTCAGCCACAACAGCGGCAAAACATCAAGCTACAACCTAAGAGCCTTACTTTGGGAAGCAGGGTACACAGTTAGCAATAAGGTTTTAGTGTTAAGATTCGCCAAAAATCGAATTTTAACCACAGAAAATTACATTATGGCCTTGGTGAGGTTGCATTTGTCCCATGAAAGGTACCATAATTTGGACACCAAAATGAAGAGCAACCCGTTGTCATTGGAAGAAGTAAGTTTTGGATTTCTTAACCTTGTTTATTTGACTACTTGATGGATTCTATTGACGATATATTCGTAATGTCAGTATAAACCAAATATATTGTATATAATAAAATTTTGTATATAACTTATTAATTTATTTAACTCGTATGACGTATGTGCAATGTATTGATATAGACAAAGATTATGTAGTTACTGGAAAATAAATAAATATATTTTTAAATACAAAAACTTTAATTTAAAATTTACACTTGTGTGTTATCAACTATTATATTTGGTTTCAAAGCCATCCCCAGTTTTTCCCAGAAATCCTTTTGCTTCTTTAAATCCTCATCCCATTGCAAGTATATTCTCGTTTTTAGTAAATACTTTAAAGTGGAAGTTAGGCTTGTATTACTCACATGTCCATATTTAATTAACACCAAGGAATCGTCTTTTTCATTTTGGAAGAATATTTTATGATGGTGGGCTATCTGAGTCTCCCAACGACACCACTGGGATTTGGCGTAGTTTTCACTGATTATCAAGAGAGTTTTTCGACTTTGAGACACATTTTCCAAGACATTTTCACTAATAAAAGTGCCAATCTCAAAATCTCTTTCATATATACAAAGGTTAAGGTGTGGTGGATTTTTCTCCAACATTTTAACCAGAAGCGTTATAAAGGCTGTGTCTTCGCTGCTATAAGAAACAAACGCGTCATATTTGAAGGTTTCTGGGTTTTCCTTTGTAGGTTTTGGACTTATTTTGCCCTTTCTGCTTAGGTATAACCTCGTTAAAAACAACCAATATCTAACATGATGTCTGTAATAAAATAAACCTAAACCTACACCCAGAAAAATAAGTAATATAAACACTAGAGGCAAAATAAGGTACAATCTCCTTGTGAAATCGTTGGAATTGCAATCTATAAGTCCATTTTTAACATTATCAATGAAGTCCATCACGGTTACATTCCCAGAGATGCTACAACGCGGTTGATTATCTCCAAAAACATTAAAGAAAAGACTTTCATTATTATTTTCAAACCATTCTTCCAATTCTGTGTAAAGATTACAATCACACATTATCGGATTTTCATTCATCACAATCTCATCTAGGTTTTGAAAGTCCTCCAACATTGGCTTAGTGATGAAAGGGATTTTGTTGGCAAATAAATTAACTTTTACTAACTCGGTATTATTCTTGAATATTCTTGAAGTCCATGATGTTAAACTGTTGTAGGATAAATCCAGTTGTTTTAGGTGTATTAATGAACCAAAATCTGCGAACGTCAGGTATATTATTTGGTTTTTGTTTAGGTCTAGGTGTTGTAAAGATTTTAATCCTTCAAATGGGTTTGAATCTTGTGCAATAAATGATATATAATTTCCGCCCAATAGTAATACTCTAAGGTTATCTAGCCCGGTAAAAATATCGTTTTCTATGCCTACGGGGTTGTTTTTAATAAAATAATTATTCTCCAGGTTTAAAAACTCTAGTTTCTTCAACGTGGCAAACGTATAGTTGGCCATACTTCTAATAGTACCATTTTTTAAACCTAAACCCTTTAAATTTTCCAAACCCAAAAACGTTTCTTCATATAAAGCATCAAGTTTATTATAGCTCAGGTTTAACTGTATCAATTTCTTCATATTCTTAAACCTAGACCCCGATACAGTAAAGGCAGACGAGTAAAATACACTTTCAGAATTCTGCTGTAAGTCCAGATAGGTTATATTCTCAAGCAGGACGCTTTCAGGCGGTTCGGAAAACTTATTAAAGCTCAAAATCAAAGTCCTTAGGTTGGGCAAGTTTACAAACGCATCCTTGGTAACACTTAAAGCTAAAACCTCGGACAAGTCCAGTACTTTTAAACTCGGCATCAAAGGGAATGAGTTTTTCTTTATAACTTCAAACCTATTTCTCGACAGGTTGAGATAGTTGACTTGAGAGTTGGCCAGGACTTCCATGAGGCCTCTAGGTAGAGTTTTCACGAAACCCGCGGAATACAAGTTCAGGTCTTTCAGTGGTATGTTGTTTTGGATGCTTGTATTTAATACGTTTGTTATTGTGGACTCGTTAAAGCTGTTAAAGCCTAGTTTTAGGCTTTCCAGGTTTTTGAGCGGCAGAAAGGCCCTGGGGTGTATGAAATCGATTCTACAGAGGACCATGTTCAATTCTGTTAAGGTTGAGTTGTATAATGATGCGAAAGAATCTTCCTGGATGATCTCAAAGTTGTTGTTCTTGAAAGATAATATTTCTAGATTGGGTATTAGGTTGGTTTGAAGAGCTAAGGCTGCGTCATGGATGTCATTAAAGCCATTACCTATGAGGAGGAGTTTATGAAGGTTTTTACAGCCATAAAAGACACCTTTGTTTAACCTTCTTAGGTTGACATTGTGCGAGATCGATATATAAGTTAGATTTTCAATTGGTTCGAAAACCTTGTCTTCCAGGTTTACCAAACGGTTGTTAAACTGTATATACACCACAGATATGTTTTTGAAAATCTCGAAATCCCCGTATTTTACTTCTGATATAGCAGAGAAGTGAAATACTAGTATCTTCTTTGGACTTACAAACACTTTAGGTACCTTTTTACAGTTTGATCTTCCGACACAAGTCATGGCGGTTTGGTATAATCTACAGTTGCAACCACTGACGTTATCTCGTTGTATGAAATCCGAATAAGAATCGTCGAATGTAACAATGTTGTTTGAATCAGAAGCAATGGATTGAGGCGGGCAAAAATCATTTTCGTCGCAAATTTGTAGGGAATGGGTCTTGATAATCAAAATGGCCAAAAAAATTACAACCATCGCGAAAGAACATCACCAATACTATAAGGAAAGAAAATATCATTTTAAAACCAAAAAAATGTAAAAAACTTACCAAAATTACCACATTATTGCATAAAACTTCAACACCATTGATTTTCCACACAAAACATAGCCATGAAAACATATTATGTACATAGAATATTAATATATTGGTGGAAATATCGTGTACTAAATAGAACAACATTCTTTTTGTTATCCTTAACAATAATTAGAAGTATGTGTGGTGTTTTTATTTTTAAAACAAGGTTTGTAAATATTTGTTAAGGGAGGCAAATGTTATTCAAAAAATTAAGGGGAATACCAAAAAAATGCCCATTTGCCTGATATCAGAAATAATGCCTGATATACAGCTGAATGCTATCGTGTATGAGTTTTGGTTCGTGCCGCGCATGACGTCAGTTGATGAGTAGTTACGGTGCGAATACACGAATAATAGTAATATTATCAAAGAAAAAAGAGAAATAAACGCATTTTTCTTTGACAAATTTCATATTTTTTATGTTCCAGGGAAGTAAATCATCACCAATCCTGGTAAACCCCATTTAAAAAACACTAACATTTCATACCACCTTTTTTTCAGACGGACAATAAGTCAGTTCTCTCGAAAATGCTTCTTAAATACCCACCTGAAGTCGATGCTAGTCAACTACAAAAAATTTTAAAATCTCAATGGAAGGCCTACCTAACGGAAAAACCAACTTTGGAACTCTGCAAAAGCCTTATTATGCTGAGGGATTACAATATAAGCGGCAGAATAACCCTTATCGATATACCTGCGTTGATGCACATGCTACAGTTTTGGAGGGTGAGCGCCCAGGTTTTTCAAAATTGTCGAATTTAAAATCTGTTTGGATATTTGAAAAAAAAACGAGTTTAAATTAGCCAAAAAATCAAATTTTATTATCATCGGGTTGTAAATAAAAAAGTTTAGGCGCCCAGTTTTTTAAAAATACGCTATAACTTTTTTGTTTGATGTGGAATTTTAATAATATTTGAAGGATATACTAAATTAAACAAAATATTTCATTTGGTCTTAAAATATTTAAAATCCATTAAAAAATAAAAATGTTTAAGCGCCCAGTTTTTTAAAAATACGCTATAACCTTTTTATTTCAAGAGGAAATTTAATAAGATTTGAAGGGTATACTTAACTAAATGCACTCTTTTAATGGTTTTAAAATAATTAACATCCATTTGCAAACAGAAGTTTAAGCGCCAATTTAATGAAAATAACAATTTCAGATGGCGTTCCTAAAATGCAGCCACAACAACGGCAAAACATCAAGCTACAACCTAAGAGCCTTACTTTGGGAAGCAGGGTGTACAGTTAGCAATAAGGTTTTAGAATGCTTAGTGTTAAGATTCGCCAAAAATCGAATCTTAACCATAGAAAATTACATTATGGCCTTGGTGAGGTTGCATTTGTCCCATGAAAGGTACCATAATTTGGACACCAAAATGAAGAGCAACCCGTTGTCATTGGAAGAAGTAAGTTTTGGATTTCTTAACCTTGTTTATTTGGCTACTTGATGGATTCTATTGACGATATATTCGTAATGTCAGTATAAACCAAATATATTGTATATAATAATATTTTGTATATAACTTATTAATTTATTTAACTCGTATGACGTATGTGCAATGTATTGATATAGACAAAGATTATGTAGTTACTGGAAAATAAATAAATATATTTTTAAATACAAAAACTTTAATTCAAAATTTACAGTTGTGTGTTAGCAACTATTATATTTGGTTTTAAAGCCATTCCCAGTTCTTCCCAGAAATCATTTTCCTTCTTTAAATTCTCAGCCCATTGCAAGTATATTTTTGTTTTTAGTAAATACTTTTAAGTGGAAGGCTTGTATTACACACATGTCTATATTTAATAAACACCATTAAATCGTCGTTTTCATTTTGGAAGAATATTTTGATGGTCCCATCGAAACCACGGATTATTAAAAGAGTTTTGGACAGTTTTCTCGAAAATTCTTCTTAAATACCCATCTGAAGTCGATGCTAGTCAACTACAAAAAATCTTAAAATCACAATGGAATTTCTACCTAACAGAAAAACCAACTTTAGAACTCTGTTTTGGAGGGCGCCCAGATTTTTAAAAATTGTCGAATTTAAAATCTATCTAGATATTTGAAGAAAAAAAGAGTTTAAATTAGCCAATAAATCAAATTTCATTTTTAATGGGTTGTAAATAAAAAAAATTGGGCGCTCAGTTTTTTAAAAATACGCCATACCTTTTTTATTTAAAGATGAAGTTTGACAAAATTTGAAAAATATACTAAATTAAATAAACCCTTTAATTTGGTTTTTAAAAAATTTAAATCCATTTAGAAACAAAAATGTTTAAGCGCCCAGTTTTTTAAAAATTGGCTATAACTTTTTTAAATTAAAAGGGATTTTAATAAGATTTGAAGAATATACTAAATTAAACAAAATCTTTCATTTGGTTTAAAAATATTTAAAATTTACTAACATATAAAAAAGTTTAAGCGCCCAGTTTTTGAAAAATATGCTATAATTTTTTTTATTTGGTTTTATAATATTTAAAATCCATTTACAAACAAAAATGTTTAAGAGCCAATTTAATGAAAATAACAATTTCAGATGGCGTTCCAAAAATACATAATGTATATTTTGTATTAAACTTAATAATTTATTTAACTCGTATGACGTATGTGCAATGTATTGATATAGACAAAGATTATGTAGTTATTAGAAAATAAATAAATATATTTTTAAATAAAAAAACTTACTTCAAATTTACACTTGTGTGTTATCAACTATTATATTTGGTTTCAATGCCATCCCTAGTTTTTCCCAGAAATCCTTTTGCTTCTTTAAATCCTCATCCCATTGCAAGTATATTCTCGTTTTGAGTAAATACTTTAAAGTGGAAGTTAGGCTTGTATTACTCACATGACCATATTTAATTAACACCAAGGAATCGTCTTTTTCATTTTGGAAGAATATTTTATGATGGTGGGCTATCTGAGTCTCCCATCGACACCACTGGGATTTGGCGTAGTTTTCACTGATTATCAAGAGAGTTTTTCGACTTTGAGACACATTTTCCAAGACATTTTCACTAATAAAAGTGCCAATCTCAAAATCTCTTTCATATATACAAAGGTTTAGGTGTGGTGGATTTTTCTCCAACATTTTAACCAGAAGCGTTATAAAGGCTGTGTCTTCGCTGCTATAAGAAACAAACGCGTCATATTTGAAGGTTTCTGGGTTTTCCTTTGTAGGTTTTGGACTTATTTTGCCCTTTCTGCTTAGGTATAACCTCGTTAAAAACAACCAATATCTAACATGATGTCTGTAATAAAATAAACCTAAACCTACACCCAGAAAAATAAGTAATATAAACACTAGAGGCAAAATAAGGTACAATCTCCTTGTCAAATCGTTGGAATTGCAATCTATAAGTCCATTTTTAACATTATCAATGAAGTCCATCACGGTTACATTCCCAGAGATGCTACAACGTGGTTGATTTTCTCCAAAAACATTAAAGAAAAGACTTTCATTATTATTTTCAAACCATTCTTCCAATTCTGTGTAAAGATTACATTCACACATTATCGGATTTTCATTCATCACAACCTCATCTAGGTTTTGAAAGTCCTCCAACATTGGCTTAGTGATGAAAGGGATTTTGTTGGCAAATAAATTAACTTTTACTAACTCGGTATTATTCTTGAATATTCTTGAAGTCCATGATGTTAAACTATTGTAGGATAAATCCAGTTGTTTTAGGTGTATTAATGAACCGAAATCTGCGAACGTCAGGTATATTATTTCGTTTTTGTTTAGGTCTAGGTGTATTAAAGATTTTAATCCTTTAAATGGGTTTGAATCTTGTGCAATAAATGATATATAATTTCCGCCCAATAGTAATACTCTAAGGTTATCTAGCCCGGTAAAAATATCGTTTTCTATACCTACGGGGTTATTTTTAACAAAATAATTATTCTCCAGGTTTAAAAACTCTAGTTTCTTCAACGTGGCAAACGTATAGTTGGACATACTTCTAATAGTACCATTTTTCAAACCCAAAAACTTTAAATTTTCCAATCCTAAAAACGTTTCTTCATATAAAGCATCAAGTTTATTATAGCCCAGGTTTAAGTAAATCAATTTCTTCATATTCTTAAACCTAGACCCCGATACAGTAAAGGCAGACGAGAAAAATACACTTCCAGAATTCTGCTGTAAGTCCAAATAGGTTATATTCTCAAGCAGAACGCTTTTAGGCGGTTCGGAAAACTTATTAAAGCTCAAAATCAAAGTCCTTAGATTGGGAAAGTTTACAAACGCATCTTTGGTAACACTCAAAGCCAAAACCTCGGCCAAGTCCAGTACCTTTAAACTCGGCATCACAGGGAATGAGTTTTTATTGATAACTTCAAACCTGTTCTTCGACAGGTTGAGATAGTTGACTTGAGAGTTGGCCAGGACTTCCATGAGGCCTCTAGGTAGAGTTTTCACGAAACCAGCGGAATAAAAGTTCAGGTTTTTCAGTGGTATGTTGTTTTGGATGCTTGTATTTAAAACGTCTGTTATTGTGGACTCGTTAAAGCTGTTAAAGCCTAGTTTTAGGCTTTCCAGGTTTTTGAGCGGCAGAAAGGCCCTGGGGTGTATGAAATCGATTCTACAGAGGACCATGTTCAATACTGTTAAGGTTGAGTTGTATAATGATGCGAAAGAATCTTCCTGGATGATCTCAAAGTTGTTGTTCTTGAAAGATAATATTTTTAGATTGGGTATTAGGTTGGTTTGAAGAGCTAAGGCTGCGTCATGGATGTTATTAAAGCCATTACCTATGAGGAGGAGTTTTTGAAGGTTTTTACAGCCATAAAAGACACCTTTGTTTAAGCTTCTTAGGTTGACATTGTGTGAGATCGATAAATAAGTTAGATTTTCAATTGGTTCGAAAACCTTGTCTTCCAGGTTTACCAAAAGGTTGTTAAACTCGATATACACCTCAGATACGTTTTTGAAAATCTCGAAATCCCCGTATTTTACTTCTGATAGAGCAGAGGTGTGAAATACTAGTATCTTCTTTGGACTTACAAACACTTTAGGTACTTTTTTACAGTTTGATCTGCCGAAACAAGTCATGGCGGTTTGGTATAATCTACAGTAGCAACCACTGACGTTATCTCGTTGTATGAAATCCGAATAAGAATCGTCGAATACAGCAATGTTGTTTGAATCAGAAGCAATGGGTTGAGGCGGGCAAAAATCATTTTCGTCGCAAATTAGTAGGGAATGGGTTTTGATGATCAAAATGGCCAAAAAAATTACAACCATCGCGAAAGAACATCACCAATACTACAAGGAATGAAAATATCATTTTAAAACCGAAAAAATTTAAAAAACTTACCAAAATTATGACATTATTGCATAAAAACTTCAACACCATTGAATTTCCACACAAAACATAGCCATGAAAACATATTATGCACATAGAATATTAATATATTGGTGGAAATATCGTTCGTACTAAATAAAACAACATTCTTTTTGTTATCCATAACAATAATTACAAGTATGTATGGTGTTTTTATTTTTAAAACGAGCTTTGTAAATGTTTGTTAATGTAGGCAAAGGTGATAAAAAAATTAAGGGAATACCAAAAAAATGCCCATTTGCCTGATATATAGCCCATACACAAAATATGTATATTAATATAGGCAACTAACATTAACTATTATATATTTCTTTGAAATTCGTTAAAACTTAGTTTGGTTGATATTTATCGTCCGTTTTTTATTTTTTAGGATTAAACTGCTGATATTTATTGTTATTTTGCTTTTTTAATGCTTTTATTTTATTACATTTTTGGAAATTGTTAAACAATGTCAAACATAGATGGCTCTCATTTTGACATTTATTGTTATTTATTATAAACCAAGGTTTTGTAGGATGTTTTTTTAATTAATTTTAATATTTTTTCGTTTTTTATACTGTTAATTATCAATAATTGTTGATTTTTTTTGTTAAATTACAGTTTTACTTACTTAAAAGCTCAACTTGCGTCTGTCATTGTTAGATGGCGTTCGGTTAGAGTCACGTGCTAGGTCTATTTTCGTTTGGTTCGTTTGCTATGGCCATTTTGAAGTCGGGAAAAGCACATGTAAAGTAAGAAAACCGGCGAAAATCGACGTTAGTAACTGTGTCGGAGCGAAAGTTACGGCACATTTAGTGCGACCGCATCAAAATTTCAAAGTGCCATCGACACACGAGCCATGTCAGGCGATAAAGAGGTGGAAAACGTGCAGGGTGTAGAAGAGGTGGAAAAAACCGTGGAAAACTTGAAAGAAGTCGAGGAAATCGAGGTGAACAAGCAAAAAGTCGAGAGGGAGAACCTAAAGAACCTGCAGGAATCCGCCAAAGTAACTCAAACGACCCAAATCGAAAAACGCACAGAGAACAACAATGAGGCTGAATCCTTGCTAGCCAAACAGGTTGACGATTTGGATATCAGCTCGGAATCCACTAAAGAAGCGGAGGAATCCAAAGTAACTGTCACTAACGAAAGCTCATCACTACGCAACATCCTCACAGCATATGATAGCGATGAATCAAGTTCCAGCTCAGATTCAACATCATCCGCTACCAGTGTATATGTGTCAGGCACTGAGGATTCAGAGGAAGACTCGGACGAATCAGAATCTGAATTCAGCAATGAAACAGAGTAAGTAAATACAGAAAAAAAGTATTGCACCTAATACGTTGTACCTAAATAAATAACTAAATTTACAGAGATATTCACAAAATTAGTTTTCACAGGTGTCATGACATGTGTGCTTCTAGATTTGTATAATTTATAGTACTTGGGTATTATTAAAAATAATTATGCCTAATGTTACATGGAAATATCAAGGTCATAGGTTTTATACTTTTTTGTACACACAATTTAATTTTTTCAATGATTTTTTATTTTATATTAGGTAAATTCTTGAAAAATTATTTCATATTAATCATTAATTATGGTAAATTTTGCAAAAAACTTGCTTACACTTAAATAATCAAATATTTAAGTGTTTTTATTATTTGAGTCAGATTATATGATTATATGATAAATACTCAAGCAATAAATGATGTAGTTTTATCAAATATCTTTTTTTAATATAAATTTGGTATGCATTGATATCAAATGTAAATACCACAAAACACTGCTTTGTGGTAAATACATTTATTTAAGTATTTTTGTTTATAATAATATATTGGGTGACTGTGTCATTGTAGTCTTTAACTTAACATATAGAAAGTTTTTCTGCATTCCTTATTTAAACAGAAAAACCCACAATCCACACAACAAGGTCTGTTCTATCTCATGCTAAAAATACTAAAAATCACTGCAACACTGCACAGAGTTTAACGGCGGCCATTTTTGTTGTTTACAATTATTGTGCTTTGGGTTTGTGCTGTTTAATAATTATTTTAAACGTTGGGTTTCTTACAGAGGTACTTGTAAGTCTCAAATAAGGCCTTTAAGTGCTAAGGACAACCATTTTACTCCTCTTTTATAATAAATATACCTTATTCTATCAGGGCTGTCAAATGACAATTTGAAGGTTAATTTAACCTTAAAATTGGCATTTGACAGTTTTATGACAGCCCTGATAATAAAGTTTATTTTTTACAATAGAGGAGTAAAATGGTTGTTCTTAGCACTTTAAGGCCTCTTTTAAGGCTTACTATGGGAAACACAACGTTTAAAACGATTATTAATCTGTATAAACAGAGCACAAACCCAAAGCACAAAAATTGTAAACAACAAAAATGGCCGCCGTTAAACTGTGTGATTTTTTGTATTTTTAGTACGAGATAGAACAGACCTTGTTGTGTGGATCCTGGAAAAACCCACAAAATATAAAAAAAATAATAAAAAATTCTGACATACATAACCTCAAATGTTTGACTTATTCAAATGTCAAAGTAAGACTTTTTAATGTGATCATAGTGCATACAAATATTTTCATACATTTTTATGTTAATAAAATTGTAATATTCAATGGTTATATGAAAAAATATTTTACATTTTTCAGAAAATTTCATTCCTTCAGAATATGCGACATATTATTTTTATTGTATACTTTATCGTCAAAAATACATTTTATACTTTTTCATAAGTAAAAATTAATGACATTCGTAAGTATTCTCGAGAGATTTCTATCTACCGTGATAATAACATTAATTTGTTGAAAAAAAATTACAAATTAACGAAAAATTTCTTTTATCAAAAAAATTTCACTGCAAAATTTTAAGAAAAATTAAAATCGCAAATTAACCATATACAATAAAATAATGTGAAACATATTCTGGGGGTTAGAAATCAAGAATAAAATGTAAAATATATATTTTTTCCTCTTTGTTTATTTTTAATAAGTCTAATAAGAAACATAAATAAATGGCATTAAATAATGTTGCAACAGACCTTTGCTTTCGCTTCCGCATCTGCAGAAGTTCTGCTCAATTTTACACATCCGCTTGTGCATCTGGTTTTGCATTTTGTTTTTTAAAAGCTTATAAACATAATAAATAAAAATTGACAAAAAATTTATATTTTTGTATGCTTTCGCAAAAATTTACTATTAACATCTGTTTTCACTTCTGCTTCTGTTATGCACACTTTCGTATAACAAGAAAATAAATTTAATTATTATATATACAGGGTGACTCAGAACTCGCGCCACAGAAAAAGGGAATAGTCAAAATTGTTCTCTTTTATTTTTCTCAGGGAAGAAATCGAGTTTATATCCGAAGTACAGGGCGCCATCAAAAAAACCGATAAATCTAAAGGAAAAGAAGAACCAAATCCTATTTTAGAAGAAATGGGCTTGGACTTATTACCGCCAGTTCCGGACATGTCAAAACTAAACATAAATCCAGAAAAAGAGGAATTTTTCCATATGGGACACATCAGGGCCATCATAGATAGAATAGGTACACATGAACTAATAAAATATACATTCATATGGATGTCACTGACCTATCCTATATACACTCACAGGCAAAATAATCGATCCACACAAATTTTCGATGAATTTCAATCGCAAATAACTTTTTTATTTGATGTCGGATTTAAACGAATATTAAAGAATATTGTAGATAAATTAATGGACAATCGCTCACATTTAAAAAAATTACTAAAAAATATACGTACGTTTATAATATACAGGTTTGAACAAAAATATGTTTTCTACCATAAGTTTAAGACACTCTGTAGAGTGGCAAAACCGTATATTGTTCTAAATTAAGTTTTATTTATCAAGTCACATCTATTCTTAACAGTTTTGTTTTTGGTTCACCTCGATATATTTATTTTTGTGGAAAATATGGATTTTTTAAAAAAACATTGCAATTATCAATATTTTCTGTATGATGTGTAAGGTTGCTATGGTCCATCCATAGGCTATGGAGAATGACAGTGACAGTTTTGTTGAATCATCCCATACTTGGACATGTCATACACGGCTTTCAAAAGCTATCAAATTGTTTTTTGCAAAATAATGTTTAAATTTTGAGGTGTCTTCTCACTTTAAAAAATGGATATGTCTCTGACTGATGTTGCCAGAGCCATTAATTTAATCCAGGATGGACGGTCACAGTATTACGTGGCAAGTGTTTTAAACGTCACAAGAAGTAAAGTACAAAGGGCAACATCAGTCGGAGACATTTTTAAAAGTAAGAAGACACCTCAAAATTAACACATTAATTTACAAAAAACAATTTGATAGCTTTTTAAAGCTGTATATGACATGTCCAGTATGGGATGATTCAACAAAGCTGTCACTGTCATCCTCCATAGGCTATGGATGGACCATAGCAACCTTAGTTCTTCATTCAGGAAAAATATTGGAAATTGCAATGTGTTTTTAAAAAATCCATATTTTCCACAAAAATAAGTATATCGAGGTGAATCAAAAACAAAACTGTTCAAAATAGATGTGACTTGATAATTAAAACTTAATTTAGAACAATATACGGTTTTGCCACTCTACAGAGTGTCTTAAACTTATGGTAAAAAACAAAGTTATTTGCGATTGAAATTCATCGAAAATTTGTTTGGATCAATTTTTTTGCCTGTTATTTTACCTCTAAAAACAATATTATTTAATTAAGCAAAATTACTACTTTTATTAAAAAAATGGTAGAGGAAAAATATATTAATTTTCGTGATCTTTCGTCAGTTACTGTGGAAGCCCTCCCGAATATTCCAGCCTACGACTTGGACACTCCGTTGTTTTACGGGGAGGACAAGCGTCCTTTAGGCGTCGTTTTTGACGTCATAGGGCAGGTCA